TATATATATATATATATATATATATATATGTACTACACCCGAAAATACGTAGGGGGTTATACCCCAAGAAGAGTAATGTATGCCCTTTATTGGATATGAATAGACGAGATGTATGTGAGACACTTCTAATACCAAGTAAAAGAAGAGAGAATGGTTCAGGTTAGCATCAATGTAAGGTTTAACAACCGCATAAATGATTAATATGCATACACTTAAGGTGTTGTGATGCCAAATTATCCATTTATATTTATTTTTCAACTCACATTTATCCAGTGTAAAAAAATAAGACAACTCAGATTCGTGTGATTCTCTTACGAAAAATTTCATACCAAATAAGATTTCTGTTTTTCTTAATAGTTTAAATGACACAACCTTTTGTTTCATTAGTTCAAATAAGTTGAGTGTAAATTTCATTAAAAATTAGGCTTAAGAAACCATGGATGGAAAAATGTTACTCTATTTTTATGATCACAGACACAAGTGCACCATTTGTTGGTTCGAGATAGCTGGCAGTCATTTCTTAAGGGCCCCGTGTACGGTTTGTCTCTTCCGGCTACAGCACTACATTAAATACCTATCTATCTAAAAAGTTATAAAATACAATGATCCCAAATGCACAAGATGGGACATTTCAGAAGAATAAAATGTACCAAAAAAGTTAGAAACAAAATCGACACAGACCACATTACACGAATCATTGAATAGCAATTTAAAGAGCATCGACCTTTTGGTCATGACTCATAACACCGCCAGAGCCAAAAATACACCAATAGCAGATATCAAATACCTTAGGCAAGACACTTGCAGCTTCACACTCGCACCAAAGGGGCTTGAAGGTCCAAGTGCCGTTGGAGGTAAACTCAACCCACCAATGCTCGAGTTAGAACTGATGTCAAAATATTCCATGATCATGTAAGATTTTAAAAAGTAACAATTACTTCCAAGCCTAAAAAATCAAGAATGTTTAAAGATTAAGATTCTATACCTTCCGGAAAATATACAGGATGAAGAACCTGTAAAAAATTACACAGAATTAATTGGTTAAGTAACTTCCTATAAATCCTCCGCACAAGGATATGACAATATTCACAAGGAAAAGTTTCGGTGATAAAAACCATTGAATGGAATAAAAACTTCAAATCTCATGACAAGTTCACCGATATTTATAAGATGCATATTTGAAAGAGTCCACACCATTAGTTTCTCAATATGCAACCATGTTTATTAGTTTCAGCCTTTCAGGTTGCAATAAGAAATATAGTAGCCTAGTTGGGCTCGTGAAGTTTCAATAGGTTTTACATCTGGGCCCTGAGGATCAAAAGTACTACCATATTGCCAAACCAAACGAACAGACTTCTGAAACTCTATCACACATTAAAAAGATGAGTGGTATTATGAACATTGAGCCTTACGGATAAGAGACCAGCCACTGTCAGATTTATGGGGAAACTAGACCCATGGAATCAGTATAAATGCAAAGACAAGAACCAAAATAATAGTAATCCTGCTACTGACCCAACAACCTAGGCTCTGATCTGGGGCATTTCTATAAAAACAAGTTAATAGATAACTGAAGAGTGACATACTGACATTAGCACTCTAATTCACAACTATCAAGCAATAAAGCTGGATCCAGAGATAATTTTGCATTACACTATCATCAAAGAAATAAGAAAAGTAATCATTATTCATTTGAATAATCTATGGAGTAATAGCCATAGGAAACAGAACATATACTTTTAAGGATAAGGCCGCTAAATTCAGCGTGCGGGAAATGAGGGTAATTAAATTCAATTTGCACAGTACAAACCCACAACTTTACATCACTCTTACAATGATTCAAAGATTTTTTTTCTCTTGTTCAATTTATATAATAATTAAGGGCCCATTTGGTTCAAAGGAGGGAAGGAAAGGGGAAGGGAGAGGAGTTAAAAATTTTGTTTGGTTGAGAGGAGGGAGGGAGGAAAGGGGAGAGGAGGGAGGGGAGGTAGCTCTTTTCTTGTTTGGTTCACAAGGAGAGGGAAGGGATTTTAAAAATCAATTTACTTTTATATCCTTATAATTTAAATTTAATAACATAAGGGTCTTCTGGACATTCTACTAAAAAAGTTTTAAAATCCCCCCAATATTGGAGGGGAGCTAAAGTTAGATGAGGAGAGGTTTTGCTCCCCTCCCCTCCTCCCATTCTCCTCCAACCAGACACATGTAAAGGATCATAGAAGACAATTTTCAAAATCACGTTAAATAAAAACCTCACTTTTTCACAAGTAATTTGTGCAAAGCATGGGTGTTTCAACTAGTATACAATATAATATCACTTTTATTTACAAATACTTTAAAAAACTAAATTATATATGCAGTTCTTAAATATAATGAATTTCCTAGGACTGTTAGTGGTAGATATAATGACCATTGACCAGTGACTTTCAAAACTATGATTTACTCTACAGAGCTGTTTCTAACAAGGAGGAGTTGTCGTTCAATTTCCTACAACTGTTAGCGGGCAATTTGAAAAGAAAAAAAAAAAAAAAAATATATATATATATATATATATACATGGTTATATATGTGCCAACAGTCCAAAGAAATAACTTGGAAATGTTAAAAGAATACCATGACAGAATATGAGTTAAAACAGAAATAAGAAGTCATATCGACTTACTAGGATCCTTGGTAGTAGTTGTTGCAGTACCATCAAAGTCGCAAGTTCCACCACTACCACGCTTTTTCTGATAATAATCATTATAAGCATAAGAGGCATGGCTTTTCAGATTATTGGGGAGATAGCATGGCTGCCCTGGTTGAATTGCAGCACAATTTGCTCCTCCTTGCCCACAAGCCCAGCTCAGGCCAGCTTGCAGCTTATCAGTGTCCGCTCCATCTTTAGCCACACAAAAAACTCCTGAAGAATTTCCGGTAGTCTGGCCTGAATCACTAAAACTCAAAGGATAAACAGTACTTCCATTCGTATAGAAGATGCCCCAGTTTTTTTCTGATATAGGTCCATTCCTCTTGTCTTCATTAAATAATTCATATATGTATGTATTAATCGCTATGTTTGGCTGACTAGGAGGACCTGAATCATTCATGACTCGCTGAATCATATTATTAATGTAGAGCTCAGCATTTTCTGCAGTAGCATCTGGTTCATTTGATCCACCAAACGATGGCCAGCCAGTCTCTGTTACAACAATGGGTATGTTATTGAAATTTAAGGCTTCTATAGAGTAGTAGGTAGCATCCACCATAGCATCAAACATACTGTTATAGTGAAATAGAGTGTTTGGATCAACAATTTGCTTCACAGAAGGAAGAGGTCGGAAAAGGGCATATTCAATAGGGAAAATGCCATCTCCTTTAGTGTATCCATAATAAGGGTAGGCATTTAACATATAGGAGGAGTTTGTGTTCTTCAGAAACTGAAGGAGTTGATAGATAGTACTGTTCCATGAAGAGTTGAAAGAGGCAGTGGAAGGAGGAAAAGACTTGGGGATAATGTCCATAGACTGGGGAGTTGAAACTTTGACCCTGAAGTTAAGGTTTGCAGCAACCAGGGCTTTGTGAAGAGAATTCATGGCAGGAACCAGTACAGGGGCGACATTTGGGATTGTGGAAAGAACCTCACTGCCAACTGCTATTGCTGTGATATTGGTGGATGGGACATAAGCAACAACATTTTTATTAATCCAAGCTGCAGCTGCTGATGGAGATTCTCCAATCCGCAGCAACTCCTCATTGGTGACACCAACGATTACTTCAATGCTAGTGTTTGAAAGGGCTTGTAGCAAGTGCGCATTAGCATCATATAGCCGCACATGAGTTATTTGATTAGCTTTTAGAATGTCAACTATATTCGAAGCAGATGGCAGATCAGAAACATCAGTGCCAATGTTTACCCCCACAAATGCACCTACAAGTTAAACAATTTGATCTAGCATCAACTCAAAAGATAATAGACGGTCAATGTCACAGATCCACATCCCTAATTGCTTCCCCTTCTGGTAATCATAACTGGGATATTAAATTAAAAGGCTGAATAAAGTAAAAGACGTATGGTCATTATTTTAAGTAAGAAATCAGTACTTTTGATTGTAAACTACTTGCTTGTAGCTATCAATTTCAATCCAATAATACAGGAAACACCTCATCATTGTTCTTAATAAAATAATAAATGCACATGCAAGCATAGGAGACTCAGGCCACTCAGCAATCAGGTTGCTGAACTAATGACTTTACAGTCAGAATCTGATAGACAATGAAAAGTACAAAGAGCAACTAATTATGTTTCAAACAATTAAAAGATTGAACTGAGTCATAGGTGCATGATCTATGGCCAAAGCAGGAGTCCAGGAGGAAGCAACATAAACTACATAACTCCAATCTCACAAAGCTAGTGCCAGGATAAGTTTCACTTTATTTAGGGGGAAGATTTTGTAAGAATGCATGATTATTGGCTAGGCTGTCACCTGTCACCTATCAGCCATTTCATTTTTTACTTAAGAAAATGGTTTATTTGTATTTTTATATAAACAGAAAATTATTAAGAAATTAAAAGTTCTGCCATATAGGCATAGATGCAATATTCTTAAAAAACTTCAAATATTAAAGATTCCTTGATACTTTCGATCCAAAATTTAATTGGCACAGTGGACAATGCAGCAAGTATACCAGCCAGAAGAACAAAAGGAAAGTCTGAAAAGTCAATTTGTGATATAAAAAACAAATACGAAAAAAAAAAACAAAGTTATAAATTACCTAATGTAGTGGTAAGCATAGCAATAGTGAGCAACAAAACACTCGCAAGCCATGTTTTAAGCTTCATCACATCCAATACCAACTCAGTCAGCAAACTCTGCTCAATATTGCAGCCCAGCAAAGCCTTGGCTATCAAACTTCATCAACAAACATGAAATCAAATTTTGAGCAATTAAAGTTACCAAAATAACACAAACAGGTAATCAAACAAAGTCCACAAACTGAATGAAACAATAATAATCAATGTACAATCCCACGTGTATATTAAGCACCTGTTTGGGTAAACATTCCCAGAAGCACTTTTAGAAGAGAAAAATAGGAAAGATGAAATGAGTTTCTGATAGGTTAAAATTAGTTTATGCATATGCTAATCAGTAAAAAGGGCTCCCTCCAACTAGTTTCTCAAAAATCTTATTTTTAACTTAAGCATTAGCTAATTTTAACTTATAGAGAAGTTCATTTTCATTTTGATTCTTATTTTTCTCATGTAGAAGTATTTCTGAAAAAAATTATCCACAGAGACCCGTAATCACTCTCACATAAAATTGACGCACACATAACCAAATCTAGTAAGAACAAGCCTTCTCATGTCAAAACCTTTAGGAATCTCTCTCTCTCTCTCTCTAACAAGCGTTCCAAATAGGTACATTGTAGTTAAACGCACCTTAACAATTAAATAAAATGAATATATAAAATTTTGCTGTATTCAAATATTTTTCTTAAAATGGAAAAAAGAGAGAAGCTCGATTTCCTCATTTAGTACAAAACGCATAACCTAACCCTCATCATTACAAAACAAAGGGGTTTACAAAAAAAGCAAGAGAAGACAGGAGTGTGCACCTGATCTTTCTCAGAAACACTTGAACCGTAAGAGATTGCGTTGAGTAGCTACTCTTCTCTATCTAGACGAAAGGTGGGCACAGCAGAACAGAAAAAGCAACCACCGCACCAGAAGCTAAAACCCTATTGAATGCAGAGATATGTGAAGGTGGTGAAGGCAAAGTCATGCATCTAACTAACTTTTTTGGGTGAGGAATGAGTTGGCGAAGAGAGGGAGAGGGAAGAGGGAAGAGTGAAGAGTGCTAAGTCTCACACTCACTGTTCACTTGCTTACTATCAGACAACATCACATTCACATCATTGCCGTTCGTTTTGCCCTATGGTCTTCCTTTCTTCTCTCTACATTTATCTTTTTTCTCATTCTTTTCTCTCTGCACATGCAACTTTCTATTTCTTTATTAATAATTAATGAATAATGCTTGCATGATCAAAAGTTTTCTTTCCCATACTTTTAGTAACTAATAAGTTTAATTGTTTTTTTTTTAATTTTTACTTAAGTTTAATTATTGTTTTTTACTTCAGGGACAATAGCAGTGAATTAATCTCCTCGCTAGAAAAGAAGTACTTCAAAGAGTCTGATAGCTGGCCTCAAGATTTATCGCAGCTTTATACACAAGGTTCAAATCCCTGACCTTACTTAAGTATTGGTCAACCCCTACTG